ATACCGCACAGCGGCCAATGCCCGTGGGGTGGGGATTTTTCTGTTTCTTCTCGTTCTTTTTTTGCATTCGGCGGGTGGCGTCGAACACGGTGCCCACCTCCCACTGACCGTGGACAGGGCCTGATCACGCAGTCGGCACGGGGCGCATTGAAAATTTGTGCCAATTAGAGGCGCCTTGTTTCTGGTCTACAGGCTCCGTGGGGCGTCGTGACATCGCCAGACGCCGGAGCGCTCAGTAAATCAAATGTTTTTGTTTCCTCGGACACTTTTTTCCAGCCCGGAGATTGTACACTTGAAGAAACGGCCAAACATGAAATATCATCCATTACAGTTCGGATAGCAAAATGTTTCCTCCTTGGAAGAAACTTCCATAGAGACTTATAAAAGTAATCAAATTCAAGTCTCACTAGAGCTCTTATACAGTTTCTTTTTCTTTAAGACATATGATTTATTTTATAAGAAAATATTTATATTTTCATAAGAGTTGGTTTTTTCCAGGTAGGGTCTATTTTTGTTTTCCGTGTACTTATTGGATGTTGGGGGCCCAGCGTACATATACATCTAATGAATTTTTAATGCACTCTCGCCTTGCACTTTCCATCGCAGCACACTGTGTTTGCTTAGTTGTCGCGTTCGATTGATGTTCGCCGAGGTGGCTGGCTTTCAGGGGTTAAGGGTTAGGGGTTATGGGTTATGGGGTTGTGGGATTGCAGGGCCGCGGGGTTAAGCGGAGGGTCGCCGTGATAGGGTTGTTGTGTAAGCCAAAGTGACACAATTGGAATGCGCGTGGACATGTCGCAGGTGCTGCCGGATTAGCATTGAAAAATAACTCTGCTGTCAGCACGGAAAAAAGGGATAAGCTGGCAGGAATTGATTGTATAGAAAGGATAACGTAAGGCCAACAAAAGGATGTTAGCCAATCATTTGTAATAAGTACAAATAACAAGCAGGTTGAGCAATATATGACGCAGTTTTTCAGATGGTATCTTAGTAATACATCTGTAATGTCAACAAAAAACAAAATATTAAGATGTAATATCCTAGGATATAGTCTTCATTATTATTGCCCAATCAGTTACTAAATATATTCATTGTATTCTGAACTTCATTTTTCACGCATAATATTAACGCATATCAGACAATACAGCTTAATTGATGGCCAAGTTTAAGAGCGGGTAGTTGGCAATTTGTTTCGCACGGAACATCTGATCTATCCGAGCACTTTCATTAGCCATTCCCAGGCGACACATTAGCCGGCATTATTCATGTCCGATGACTGAGCGAAATCAACAGCCCGGCCTGTCTGAGTTATGGCCATAAATACATCTTGTGCGCCTGCTCGAAAGACCATAATAGGAAAGTCCTCCCCGGACTTTAGTTTTTGCGTGCCAGCTAATCGCAGGAAATTGTCGGGTTGGTTTCTTTAATCCTCATGCAGTGGCTTCATGTCTTAATTTCCGCATACGATGCCGTGGTTGTATCATCCCAGCGGGTTAAACATACCCAGGTATAATATCAATAATAATACGTGCAGGTGGCCATACCCCGTTTTCAAATGCGGATATGTCCCTGGTATCCTTAGTATCCTCAAGGCTACTCTTGGCTGGCCTGTGTGTGTTTGATAACTATAAAAATTGAATAAAACTGGGTGGAGTCCTGGCACACAAACAGACAAACACACAAAGCATACATATATAGTTATATGGTTCACCTGCATTCTTTTCCAGTTTGCTATTCACGCCTTCTGCTCCTGTGACTCGGGTATCGATTTTCCAGTTAAACCGCCGCCATTTTTAATGGCTTTCATTACTTGCGCTTGTCTTGTCCTGTCCCCTTTCTTTAACTCCACGCCCCCATTTCCGTTTCCGCTTTGGCTATCCCCCGTTTTGCCTTTTGCTGCGTGAGTTGATTGAGCAATAGCGCCTTCTATGTGCTTTTCGCGACCTTCATTCATCACCCAATTTAATTACGCGCCTCATAATAAAGTTAATAAATGTGTCACGTTCACATGCACCCACTAATGGAGTTTCGAAAGGGGGGCCGGGGAAGGGGAAATTGCCGGACAAAGGCGAGTTAATAATGCATGCTGGCCATTTGGCCGTTTGGCTGGCAGGGAAGTAAAACTCGGACATTACGCATACGCCGCATGTAACGTTAAACCGCTAACGGGCCACAAAAGACCCGGATGGAACTCAGCAGCCATTGCCCCGTTCTCCAGATGCACTGGAAGAAGAATACCCTAATTCAAATGAATCACTTTTTATTACATTCTGGCACTTTGCAGATTAAATATAATAATTTTGTAAGACTATAATACCTTTATTTTATTATACTTCGAGGAACATTTGTTCACTAACCTTTTTATTATCGTGGCTTCAATAAAAACGTCGAAAATGTCAAGGAAGTAAAGTGAACTTCAAGCTCACAAGCAAGGAGAGTAAGAAATATAATATTTCTAAGGTCAAAGTGGTAATTAATTTCAAAACCAAGCACTAAAGAGTTTCTCCCTGTGCACATATGTGATACAAGATGTACCGATGTGCAAAGCATTTCCGGCTAGAACCGAGAGAGCCTAGGGCAAAAGGCAACCACGGAGAACCGTCGCTGAAATCTGACTATGAAACAGAGGGCATTCGTCATTAAATATTTACACTTTCATAAATGTGTGAGTGCATTCAGAGGTCCTTAAATATTTTATGGCCCAAACGCAGCCGGTGAAGGTGAAGGCCCCAACACAAGGCGCACACGAAAGTGAAAAACGGGAAGGGAGAAGAGGCTCAAAAAAAGCCATACAAGCGTGAAAATCGCACCACCAACAACCAATGCAATGTTGGTCCAGGAGGCTTTGGGCCATCATCTCTGTGTTTCTTTTTCATATTTTTGGCTCATTAAAAGGCAGCCCGAGATAAAAAAAAAGGTACAAAGAAGTTCAGAGTCGTAATTGTTGCGAAGTGACAGTTTGACACAAAGCCAAAAGACTGAAGGCCCTCAAATTTGAGTTGGGGCTTTTGGATTTGGGTCTGAGTTATTATTCACAAGTTCATCTGGTCGGTTTGTCCTTTTCTTTGTCTGCCTTCCTTGGGGCTTTCAAGTTATTTCAGGCAGAAGAATGTTTTAATGTAATTATGCGGGAAACAAAACAAACAAATGGGTATAATAAATATTTGTGATATTATTCCAATTTCGATTTAGCCATCAAATAGCCACTGATTTAATTGATGAATGGCCTTTCACCCACTTTGTAGATAATCTGGTTTACAGATAAATCATTTAATTGCCGGAATCCGAACTGCCATTGTGTTTTGCGGCTGATGTAATGGATATATTTGCATACCGCCTCTGTAAATGCGCAACTTTTAGGGCCATTAACTGCAGTTTTAATTACTACTATTCCGTCGGATGCAGGCTTATCACCTTCTCGGCTGGATGATTTCCCCCGTTTGTAATGTGTTCACTTTCTGCCATTAAATGGTTCCGAGTAATGGGCCAATAAAAATACATGCGACAATTTTCGACTAATGTCAACCGTAAAAACGGGGCGGACGAAAACAAACAGCAGCCGAGAAACAAATAAATGGGTGTATTTTCTCAGGCGCTAATTAAAATATACAAGCCAAGAAAAACAGCAGCCACAATGCGTCAAATGTGGCGTATACGTAATGTACAATTAAAAGCAAACGTAGTAAAAATGAGCGAAAGGACTATGTGTATCCAGGGGGGATTCCCCGTTTTCGCAGTTCGTGCATACGCCTAATTGAATGTAAGCAACATGGAGGCCAGTAAAAAAAGCCATCTGGCTTTGCTGATCCTGGGATCCAGGATCCCATCCTGGCAAATCAGTCGAAATACCCACAATGGCGCTATAAAATTGCAATGTCCTCATTTTTAGTTGGATGCCCTGGCACGTAGCACGCTGATGTCTGCCGATGTTTGTTCGTCCTTTGGCCCACCGAAAAGGACAAACATAAAAGCACCGGAATGCGTAGAAGGCAGTAAGTTAAATTAAAATTTCATGGAGTCACTTTCATCTCATTGGCTCCTTCTGCTCTTTGGTAATCAAATCAGCGACAGTTTCGCGTTTGAAGGGAACGCCACGGAATCCGGGCGAATAAATCTGCTTAAGCAGATTGTCTGTTTTCCCCGGATTTCCCAGGTTTTTTCAGGGTAATGTGTATGTAAAGGTAGATCGGATTATCAGGTGAGCAAAGTTCCCACCGTGGTAATTGAACTCATTTAAATTTTATTGCAGGCATTCACTTGCGTAAAGTAATTACTATCGGGAAAACGGCATTGCCTAAGCCAAAGGAATTCGATGGTTTGATGAATTATTGATGAGTGACAGAGGTTAAAAGCCGAAAGGCCAGGGCAAATACAAACGTTTATTTATTGTCATTTTATATTCCAGTGACATTGAATGCGACCTTTTAATAAAGAGCTGGCTTTTGGGTAAAACGTTTTTAATACAGGTGAATCTTACAATTCAGAGAAAAGCCGATTATTAAAAAAAGATTAAAATAATAGAAGTGCACTCACAATAATAAAAAAAGTAAGCCCATTTCGCAGCTCAGCCCACTTTGCAACTGAATCACCACACCTATATTATTTAAAATCAGATTATAAGAAATAGATTAACATAAACCATAAATAACAACTTAATTCCAACGAAAAAAGTGCCACAATCACAATAATAAAAAATTGTAAACCACTGTCGATTGAGGAGTATTTAAATTCAATGCAGTACTTTTTAAGCTCACTTTCAAACAGAATCGCTAAGCCCATATTAATTAATTAGCAGCACCAAATCCCCGCTGCTTTGTATGCATAGTTAACTCTTCACAAATTAAACTTGACACAAAAGTAAAATTTTGCAAATTTCACGGGCGACCAAGTGGCACAGTTTTTAAGCTAAACTAAAATTTCCCGCGGCAAGAAAGTTTTCACAAAAATTACGAAAAAGTTTTAAAGCTAACAGGTAAAATGCAGAATGGAATTTTACTCACTCAGTTATTTAAGATATTTATTTATTTCGAGGAAATAGAGTGTAATCACTTGGCGATATCGCGACACTACTAATTGATCGTTAGTGTAGTTAGAATGTTTATGTTCCGTCGACCGATTACTGGCGCACTGATCGATTTATATGCAAATGACCCAACAAGTCGGCGGCAACTGATGCGAGTCCTGGCCAGCGGGAACTTCAAAACTCTGGTCGCAGCGAGTGCAGCGCGTCGAAAGCCGAAACCGAACCGAAAGCGCAGCCGAATCGCATCGGATCGACACGAAGCGAAAGTCGAGGTCCTGGAACGAGGACATCCCCACTCTCCCTCTTGGCCAGCCCCGCCTGTTCTGTTGGCCTGGTTGCCATATCGACGACGCCTCGGGACTCAGAACTCGACAATCGAGCGTCGGGACTTGGCACTTTGGACTTGAGACTCGGGGCCCCGAGTTCCAGGCTTTCAGTTCTGCTTCTGTTCGTCTGCTGCGTTCAGAGTTCGTTGCGAAACTGTCTCGTTTTGGCCACTTTTTTTGGCCCATTGGCCTGGCCAACTTCCTGCACACACGTTCGAGTTGGAAGCTCCTTCCGCTGGCCCGAAAGTTGGGTGGTAAACACAACATAAATGTCTGGCTTTTTTGGCACTTTCCGTTCCGTGTGATGTAAGTTTTCGACACTTGTTGTTTGTATCTCTGCGAGAGATGGCAAACTTTTCCCGGCCGGAACAGGCTAATGAAAGGCAAACTTGCGCCAAGGACTTTGGGTACAGAAAAGTTTTAAAACTTGCAGCGAAACTCATTGATTTCTCGGCTAGGTTCTTTGCGAAGATAAGTCAGTACTTCCAGGAAATTCATTGCCATTCAATGCCTAACCCATTCTCATATTTCATTTACACGTGTAAGAGACTACCGCAACAATAAAGCAAAACACAACCCCTAGAAACATATAGCCCACCCCAAAATAATCCCTTGCCGACACGTTCGAGTTGACTTGCAACTAAGCTCGATGTTGCAACTATATATACGAGTATTTCACTTGGTCGGGAGTATTTGGGCAGCAGGAAAACGGGAACTAAGGGGCTTGTGGGTTAGGTAACGCGGGTCTTAATTGGGTTTGCGGGGCCCTGGAAGTGCAACTCGGTTTGTGGCACAATCGGTTGCTATCGCATGTCAGAGTTCATGGCGGTCATTAGCATCGGGGTTTTAGAGACCCTAAAAAAGGTCAGTTGGTCACACTCACCCGCAACAGCTTCGGGATCTCATAAAAGTCTCGATTTCAGCCGGTGCTTCCCCCACATAAAAGTATCCCACTTTTTATCCTAACGATGCTGGGTCAAGCACCTCGTTTGGAGAGATGAAAGTATCGAATTACCCAGCAGCCAGGGGAGTTGAGTTATTAACCCACAGGAAACTGATTAGTTTTGATAGCTGAACTTTGGAGTATACAATAAATGAGCTCAGGGGCGGTAGGATAAACTACCCAGAAATAAGCTGGAACGGAAGAAAACATCTTGAAGGGGAGCCCCTTTCTGTACACTGAAACTCAAGATGGAAGGAAGATCATTACACTGATCAATGAACCCAGAGTCCCGTCCTTAATTCCGGATCCAGACATCAACGTCATCTCTGCTTCCGATCTGTCTGCCCAGGGATCCCTGGATGGCAGGTTTTTTTGGCTTCCTGAGGCGTCAGTTACACATCGTATCTGCTGTATCTCCCGAGAGCAACAGATGTCCCCTTGGAAGATCACTAACCATCTCGGGTTTCCCCAGACAGAGTTCCTCTGTTTTTTCCCCCTTTTTTCTCTCTTCCCTGTGGGTGCTGCATTCTGTGACATAAAATTGCAGAACAATCCGCAAGGATATCAAATGGAACACATCCTTGCCACCCCATTTCCAACTTCCCCTGAGATAAGCAAGAATTATTGCTTACTTTGCAGCAGGACAAAGGTCCCTCTTATTGTTGTTGATGCCACTGGCAAAGTGTAAAATTCTATTTCTATGGAAATCATTTAAAATGCGGCAGTTTTCGGTTTCAACGTTTGCACTGGCTGAAGAAGAAAAGGCCCACTTTAAGAAGGAAGTTGTTGCCAATTGAAATCGAATCAAACAGTGAGAGCTTATGGTTTGTAAAAAATAACAAGCGATTTGTATGCAGACTGCAAAGCGATTTTTGGCTGAGATTTTAACACTATAAAAACTGAGGTTTGAGGTGGGTTTTATAGCAGTAAATTTATGGGTATAATAAAAAGCGTTTTAAGCTTACATATTTGCTAGCACCCATGTTCATTTTAGTATGTCAATTAATAGCGAATCCATAGTAATGAAGCAATTAAAATGGTTTTCCTAGAAGGCAGTTTCAATATATAACTTTGGAATTTATAGCAAATCAATTCTGAGAACAATGCATAACGAGCATTTAATGATAGATGTTGAGTGCCCCGATGGTTCTAATTGACCAACATGCTTATTAAGAACATTATTTGATTTGTGACATTTCATTAAGTTGGAAAACTGGTTTACTTAAATATAAATCGTTATTTTTGCAATTTAATAACATATTTACATTTTTTTTCGCTTACTTTTTTTATAGGCTTCTGAAATCATACGTTTTTGTTTATATAATAGTACACAAGTTATCCAGTTGGAATATTTTTATAGATATTTAAAGCACTACCGTATCCCCTTGGGCTTTCGAGGGTTATAGCGTTAACTTAACTAAATAGGCAAGTGGATAAGTAGGCAATAACGTCAGAAGCGGGCCGCGCACGCGCTTTAGCCTCATTTGGCATGCGCACCAGATATCTCGGCAAGACATTATGTTTATGAGGGTACCAGGCGAGTATGTGACTAAGTCGATGGATCTGGGCGTGCGAACCGCTCCGCCTTATGATGGGCATTACAATCGCTCCAGTGGGTGCGCACTTTCAGCGGAATTTCGTGGTCGGGTTGTCAATTCTCTAGAGTGCGGTCTTGGCTCCCGGGGGAGACCATTTGTCCCGTGGTCTACGTGATCCGGCGGGCATTCACCATTAGCCGGAAGAGGAAGAACCGACCGCCCAGTACCAGCGAGCCCTACGATCAGGAAGTCCCTCGATCGACGTCGTCGACCGGGTTCAGTGTCCGGTTTTTGTACTTGAAACCCAAATTACGCAGTTCCTGAAATAATACCGCCCAGCCTCCCAGAGTGGGTTGTTTTTGGGTTATTTTTGGGTTCGAGCGAAAGTACCGCTAGATGGTCTTACGGCAAGTGCGCAAGTGGGCCGAAAATCCCGAAAACCCGCCCGTGATGTCACTGCCGGTTCAGCTGGCTTTCATTTAAACAGTGAGAAATTATATATAAATTTCAGATTTTGATATAAAACTTGAGATAGAATTTTAAAAATAAGTTTGATTTTATAGTTTTGTAATTATCTGACAGATGTGGAGTACACAGCATATTCTTCGACTTTATGAAAATAATTGTATACAGTTCGATCTGAAGCAGAATCGTTTTCTCTTAGTGCACTTTAGTTGATTTTCGGGTAGCCCCTTGAAATCTGATGATTAACTCTGAGAGTTTGAACTTCGAAGTGCTCGCGTCAAGAGGTGTTACATAAGGCTGCGTCAATTGACCTTTCTGACCGATTAGTCCCAGTATTTGTCTGAGTTCATACAGATCTTGGTGAGATTTTAGACATGTGCCGATAGGGTAATAAAGACATCAGACTTTGTTTTGGCTCAGTCTTATTGTTTATTATTTATATGGAATATACATATTTAGAGCCCTGTTAAATGCAGACCTGTTTTGTGCATCACATTTTAAAAATAAACCAACAAAATAATAAATATTAAACTGACTGATTATATTTTCAATATAAATATATATTTTGTGAGAAACTGACAACATTCCAAATATATTTATTTATATAATTTTATTAAAATATTTGATTCCATTCAAGTCTCATTTTAATAACTGAAATACTATGAAGCTCCGATGACCTTAAATATTTACTAAAGTCAATTAGCAAAAATGCGCTCATTACCAAACCTTTTCCAAATAAGGGCCAGTTGCTCGCGGAAAGTTCCCAGAGGAGAAAGACCTGTGGTTTACCGAACCAGTCTCGTTTAAATTATGCTCGTTAATCATCTTCGATCAGCATTTAAAAATCAATAAAGCCCGCAATTTAGTGTGCGAAAACACGATTCCGGAGGAGACAATGACTGCCCCTTCGAATGACATCACACCGCAACTCTGACTTACTTTGGGCACTTACGCACTCGATCGTCTGAGGGGGCTTGAACCTAAAAATAATACGAGCATTACAGTTTTGGGATGATCCGGTTTTCCCTCTGTTTTCTTAAAATATCAGATCGATCAAGTGTACGGGACTTGATGAGTGTCAAATATAATTGGAATGAACTTAAAAATTCTTTAGCCGTGTGTTGTAGTTCTATACTTAAGCTTCTTGGGAACGTAGTCTGTTTTAGGAATATTTAGAACGAGGTTTTGGCCAGACTTTATTTGAATGTTACGTGGGGTAAGCATAGTCACTTTCTGTTTTGTGATGTTTCCGGGATAATCTGGTTTTTCTCACTTTACCAAAGGCCTTTCTGGGCCTGGAGGTTGGCACCATCCTTAGTAAGCCCGAATCGATGTCCCTCTCGATTTTCTCGATGTAATCGACCATTTTGTTGATATCCGTGTAGATCCCCGGCTGCTTGGTGTTGCTGCAAATTGGTCCGAAGGAAACCACGCCACAGAGTTCATTGCCATAGGTGAGGGGGGATCCTCCGTCATAGAGGCACTTCCTCGGATCCATTTGATGGGTCACACAGAAGGAGGTGCTCGAGAGCCGGATTTCGGAATCCTTGTACTTTGTGCGGCACGATTTGATGCTCTCGACGGGCACAGTGCCACTCTTTAAGTTCAAGTCCTTCGGTGATGTTTCCATGGCGTCCCAGCCCCATCCGTAGACCGTCATCACCATTCCGGGCTTGATGGTCTTGTTGCAGAGCTTAATGAACTCGGTCGTTCTGCCCCTGACGGGATCTTGCAGCCGGATCAGGGCAACGTCCATATATAGCCTGTGGAATATGTAACGCGGGGGGATGTGCACGTTGTCGACCAGTCCGTAGACAAAAGCGTCGGTGAAGGTGGGCTCGACACTAGTCCCCTCCATATCATAGCGATACGGGTGGATGCAGGTGGCGGAGACAATCATCAGAAGCGGACTGTAGTAGGATGCTCCGCAAAGGCTTACTTGGTCGGGATGGGTCACCCGAAACAGCCAGCCGCCGAAGTTGTTGCCCGTGTTGGACGCAGGTTCTGCCCACCAACGGATGTTCTTCTTGGACGGTCGGGTGATGTTGTATCTGTACAGCTTGCTTCACGATGGTAGGGGCCACAGTACGATGGCCAACAATGCCCAAAGCAAGACCTTAGTCATGACTCTTTCATTCCGAACTAAGAGCCATACTGGTTCCAGATCCGTCTGGTGGGGCGAGAAGAATTGGCATGACATCTACTTAGTTTCGCTCTGAAATAGATATGATTACCAGTTTTTGTTAGGATGACTATTTAATGTAGTCCAGATCATCTGAAACCGTATTTTGTAAGTTTATTCTTTTGTTATTCAAAAATATCTAGTTCCTTTTTTTCCACTCCTCCTCGAGTTTATAATGTTCTTAAATATCCTTTTTCGGTTCTTGAGTTTTTGTATCCGTATCCGAGGCTTTTTAGAGCCTGATCGCCTGAGATATACAGAATTTGAAATGTCCAACTCAACCTGCTCGATGTACTTGGTCACCTTGTTGATGTCCGTGTAAATCCCGGGCTGACTGGGGTATTTGCAAAGTGGCCCGAAGGAGACCACGCCACAGAGCTCGTTGCCGTAGGTGAGAGGGCATCCTCCGTCGTAGCGGCACTTCCTGGGATTCTTGGGATGGGTCACACAGAAGGAGGTGCTCGAGAGCCGGATGCCATTATTCTGGAACTTCTTGCTACACGACTTTATGTCCTCGACGGGGACAGAACCATTCTTAAGGTCTAAGCTCATCTTTAGTTCCATGCTGTCAAAGCCCCAGCCGTAGGACGTCATCACCATTCCGGGCTTGATGGTCTTGTTGCAGAGCTTTATGAACTCGGTCGTCTTGCCCCCGACGGGATCTTGCAGCCGGATCAGGGCAATGTCCATATATAGCTTGCTGTATCTGAACTTCGGATGGGTGTACACTGTGTCGATCAATCCCTCGACGTTTTCGTCGTTGAAGGTGGGCACGACACCGGTCCCCTCGACATCGTAGCGATACGGATCGATGCAGTTCCCCGAGGCAATCATCAGAAGCGGACTGTAGTAGGATGCTCCGCAGATTAGCCCTTCCTGGACGTGGGACACATAGAACAGCCAGCCACCGAAGTTGTTACCCGTGTTCGACCCCTTGCCCGGCCACCATCGCCTCCACTTCTCGGAAAATCGATTGATGGGGTATTTGTAAACCTTGCTCTGCGATGGGAGCGGCCACAAATAGAAAACTAACAGGGCCCACAAAAAAACCTTCTTCATGGCTCTTTTCATCCGAACTAAGAGCTCTATTGGTTCCAGGTAAGTCTGGCGAAGCGCAGAGAATTCCCATGACCAACCACTTAGTTCTGCCCCAATCCCTAGTTTTGAAATGATCTCAGTCCCTCACCCAGATGTTGCAAGGCAGACTAGAATGTTTAACTTCATTTTCTGTATCTATTGATAATCATATTCCTCTTTTTTTAATGCAATTATTCGATTCAGCTTCTTACGGTTTTTGTTTTTATATTGTTTGTACCACCACCGCGTTTTCCGATCATTCCCTCTGGTCTCCCTGTTGAGAAGTCCATTTTTGATCTTATAGGCGGTGTCCTCAATGAACTTGGTCATCTTGTTGATGTCCGTGTAGATGCCTGGCTGATTGGTGTACTTGCAGAGTGGCCCGTAGGAGGCCACGCCGCAGAGTTCGGTGCCGTAGGTGAGCGGGGCTCCCCCGTCGTAGCGGCACTTCCTGGGATCCCTGGGATGGGTTACACAGAAGGTTGTGGACGAGAGTCTGATGTTGGTTCTCGAGAGCTTGTTTCGGCACGATTGGATGTTCTCGACGGGAACGACGAAACTTCTTGTGTCCGAAGTCTGTAGTCCCGCGCTGTCAAAGCCCCAGCCGTAGGACGTCATCTGCATATTGTCCTTGATGGTCCTGTTGCAGAGCTTTATGAACTCGGTCGTCCTGCCCTGAACGGTCTCCATCAGCCGGACTACCGCTAGATCCTGGAAAGTTCCATAGTGCGTGAAATAGGGGGGAGTATGAATGGTGTCCACATAGACGTCGTAGGGCTGGTGGGTGTACGTGGGTTGAACCACCGTGCCATCCAGGTCATAGCGGTGCTCATGGATGCAGTTCGCGGAGGTAAGCATGATATAGGGCGCGTAGTAGGACGCTCCGCAGATGGGACCGGCGCTCCCGTGATGAATGCGAAACAACCAGCCGCCGAAGCCCGTTCCAGTGTTATATTTAGGACCCTTCCACCATCGCCTCTCGGGTGGAGTGAACTCGTTGATGCGGTATGGGTACACAAAGCTCCAAGCTTGGAGGGGCCACAACTCCGCAGCTAGCAGCACAAAAAGAACGAACTTCGGCATCGCTCTTTCGCTAAGAACTAAGACCTTTTCTGGCTACAAAGGGTACATAAGCTAAAATTTTTACGTCTCATACAGACGTTGTTAATAACCGAAACAATGTAAATTTATCTGTCTGGCAGACTCTTTCATTTTTCAAAACCCCTAAAATACCCTTTTAATTGGAATAATAATCTAAGCACACCTACTTAATCAGTTCCTAGTTTGCACTATTAAGCTTTAATAAATAGGTAGTGGTTTTATTGAAAGCTTAAATATATGATTTTAGAAATTTAACTATCATGATCAGGTCAGTTTTGGAAGAGTATTTGAATGCCGCTTTAGGGTCAAAACTAAAGCTAACAATTTACCACGCTGATTAAACATTTTCCGCACACGCTTTATATAGCCCCATTAATTACCTACAAGTGGCCCATCTTTCATTGCAATACAATGGGATTTCCGAAGTGCTGGCTCTTGCTGTGCCTTCTGCTGGGGATCTCTATATCAGCGTCCCAGGGAAAGATCTACCCGAGGGACATTTTCCGAAAGATTCCCAAATTTCGACGCGTCTGGGGAGGAGTGGAGTCGAACACGGGACCCAACTTTGGGGGCTGGCTGCTGCGGATCCTGAACAGTAATGGGAACTTTGCCTGCGGGGGAGCCTACTACGCCCCGCTGCTCGTGATCACCTCGGCGAATTGTATATATCCCTATAGGAATAGTATTGAAGGGGCCACGGTGGAGGGCACCGCGTACTCCAAGTGCGATAAAGAGAACATAGCCGAGATCGATACCATCCAGTTTCCCGAGAGATTCATCTACCACAAGCTCTACATGGACGTGGCCCTCATACGGCTGAAGGAACCGATCAAGGGCCGACTCACCGAGTTCATCAGGCTGTGCTCGGTGAAAGTGCAGCCGGGCATGAAGATGGTGGTCTTCGGGTGGGGTTACGACAGCTTCATAGTGCAGAAACCCTCTTCGGACCCGCGAAACTCATCAGTCACGGTTATATCCGTTAAGGAGTGCCGTCGGAAGTTCAGAACGGGCCTGAAGCTTTCGAGCACCTCGCTCTGCGTAAAGCAGCCCCCAAATCAAAGGCAGTGCCTCTACGACGGCGGGAGTCCGATGATCTACAACAGGGAACTCTGCGGCGTGGTGTCCTTCGGATCCAACTGCCAGGACAACTCCAAGCCCGGCATGTACACCAATATCAGACGCGTGTCCCGGTTCATTAGGGAAACCGAGGAGGGCATTAATGCCGGCTATATCTTCAGGTCCCCCAGACACCATGAGAAAGAACCTCACAAAAGAAAGTCGACCACAGAGGTGAAGGGAACCAAAGCGAAAATTGTACCAAAGACAACTAAAAATTTGCCAAAGACAACCACTGTGGATCCCTTGGAAGCGATGGTGTGCTGAATAAATTATTTTTACTTGATAAACTGTTTATTTATTTCACCTAAGTTGGTACATTCTGGATAGGAAATATGGTGTACAGATATTATCCCTTTATTGGAGTCATTTAGGTATTTCCATATCCCAAATATCAACAGGGACGACAACAATATTATAAAAATATTTTTAAAATTCGATAAACTAAGATAAAAGTTCTTAAAAATATAAGAAACAACAAGCTTTCAAAATGTAGATAACAAAATATACCTAAACATCAGTAGTGCCTATAATAATAAAGTTACAAAAAGGTTTCTCAAATTGAATTCTTAAAAAAGTAGAAAACGATCTATAATTACAATTACCTTCTTAATTGAGTGTGAAATTGGATTTGTAATACTTGGTTAATTTTTGTGATCTTTTCAAACCAGATCCAGTAAGTCTAGAACACCGAGTAAAACCACTTGCTGAGATGAATTCTCTTAAGGAAATCCTATTGATACCACTCCTCCTCGCCAATATAGAAATAGCCACTTCTAGTAGGTGGAATTCATCTGCCTCTTACTTGCATGCAAGGCCTCCAGTAAAAACAGTGAATAATAATGGCTTAAGATTGACGGAGGGTGGACATGTGGGCGCCTGGCTGCTGAGGATCATGGATGGCGATAAGTTTGTCTGTGGAGCCTCCTACTACAGTGCTCTTTACGCCCTGACCTCGGCGAACTGCCTGCATAGCCACAGGTCGAAGTTGGAAACACTCAGTGTGGAGTTCCTAACGCCGGACCCTCAGCAGGAGGATCAGGAGGACTCGGATGCCCGCTCCTTCGCCCTCATCCGCACCGTTTTCACATCGAAGGAGTGGCGCTGGCCGGAAACCTATATGGATGTGGCTGTGATCAAACTCAGCCACCGCCTGCGTGGCAACCTGAAAGACTTCGTGAGGCTCTGCACCAAACCACTGAGTTCTTATAACATCCTATCAGTGGTTTCCTGTGGAGCAGGACCCACTGAAGACGTGAAAACCGAGGGAGTAACAGTGCTCAATCGCCTGGACTGCGAGTCCCAGTACGGCAGTGTGATCCTGGGTGAAACTGTGGCCTGTGCCAAGGAATCCAAAAGGAAACCGGGTTGCATGTTTAGCCCCGGATGTCCGGTGACCGCTGGAGACCAGCTCTGTGGGATCGTGGCCTGGGGTCCTGCCTGCAAGAGACCCGGAATGCCAGGGATCTTTACCGATATCCATCAGGTTCAAAAGTTTATCTTGAAGGCGATCAGAGGAAAGGGCAGGGTCAGTAGTGATGACCACCGGAAATCCGAGTCTAAAATCGTCCCCGTGTGGCACTCGGGCTTCTGGATAAGCCGATAAGCTGAAATAATAAAAAATGTCTGACAATTCAAAGAACCTATTAAAACTTTTTAGTAAATATTTGTGAGTAAATAATTTTAATAAAATCAAACAAACTTGTAACCCGAATGTTTTTCCTAATATATATAGTTACAAAGATTAGTTTTTATTTATTTACTTTTTTTAATAAAATATTTTTGTTTTTAAATTTAACGGTCCATTTTTCTGCAAATTTGTTTGCTGGGTTACCTTAGTTCTCTTAGCAAAGATACCCTCCTCACATAGCGGAGACACCCTCCCGACTTTTGGTATATTTCTGTATACAATTTTGGTATATTTTGTAAAAACCGGGTGGTATAATTGATAACAAGCTCTGCGGTCACACTAAACCTAAAAGAAAACAAAATTTCGCACTTCAATTTTAATTGTAAATAAAACAATTAAATACAATTAAAATGGAAACTGTAAAAGAACTGGTGCAATTCATGCAGCCCAATCAACGACTGGACTTGAAGGCAGTGGCTTTGACACATGTTTTAGGTGAGTTTCAAAGAAAATCAAAACTACATGCTCGCACGTGCGTTTGTTATGGGCAACTGTGACGTCACGCGGTCTCACATTTTATTTACTTACTTTAATTATTCCTTTTTCCAGGTTTAACTGGCAGTTCAGAGGGCAAATCAGCCATACTTTCGCTGGACGACATGCTTATGGCCATTTTTGGACTGACCTTCGATGAAAATCAAACGGTGGCCAAGGATGCGGTGCTAAGTTTAATTAATTTAACAGCCGAGGAGGAGGCAGCTATTAAAGTTTTCCAACTGGCTAAACAATTGCAACCCGTAAGTTAGGTTCCGAAATGTGTTTACAATCTAAGTAAATATTTCCCAGGCCTTTGCCATCGTGGAAGTGGCCGCCAAGCACATAACCGACGAGCAATCCGATCTGGCCGATCCCTGGAGCATGGTGCTGAGTAACTTAACGAGGGTGGAGTCGCTGGTCCACGAAATCCTGGACACTCTGGAAAGGGACGATCAGACACTGCCCCGTCTGGCGAAAGCCTTCGCCCAGCTGGACTACAACAAGAAGAAGGCCAAGCTCCACTACTTGGCGCCCATATTCTGCAATCTGACCCAGGTGCCACGCGGAAGGGAGCTGTGCTGCCACGGGAAATACCAGCTGCTGGAGAAACTGCTGCCCTTCGCCTCCTTTGAGGGCAGTGTGGTGAGGCGTGGCGGCACCATTGGCATCCTCAAGAACGTCTGCTTCGACACTGTCTACCACGAGGTGATCCTCAACGATCAGAGCAACATTCTGGTGGCCATCCTGCAGCCCCTTTGCGGTCCAGAGGAGTTCAGCGACGAGGACAACGAACTGCTGCCCATCGAACTGCAGGTGGGATCTATACTTTATACATAGTATAACCTATATAAATCTTTTCTTTTTGTAGTACCTCCCTGAAAGCAAAACGCGGGAAGAGGATCCAGATTTGCGGAAAATGCTGCTGGAGTGCCTGTTGCAGCTGTGCTCCACACGCCGCAGCCGGGAGATTCTCCGCTCCAAGGGGGTTTACGAGATCCTCAGGGAGTACCACAAGTGGGAGGCGAAGGTGGCCAAGGACAGCGACTGTCTGCTGGCCTGCGAGAACGTGGTGGACATTCTGATCAAGTGAGTGCTAAGATAAGCCATAAAATAAGCATTTTCTTATTAAAAAATGTTCCCCATTCCAGAAAAGAGGAGGAAATCGGCCTGGACAACTACAAAACGGAAGTAGAAGTTCCCTCCGAGCAAGCCGAGAAGTTCGTCCAGGAAGACGCCGCCTATGTGAAGAGTTTGCTGGATTAAATCAATCAAATTCCCCGCTTCTTGTAAATATGTGTAGTGTTAGTGAAACTCATAGACGACATCGAACTTTCAATATATGTTATGCAGTTTTTTATTCAGAAATGCTGATAGTTTAGATGGTAATGCTTCAGTTGCCCAAAAATGTTGCTCTAGAAAAAGTTGTACGCACGCATTCAAATGCAGGGGAAACAATTTCGATTTCGATTTTCAATTTGATTAGTTTGAGTAGCGTCGTTATCTAGTTTATCTAATTATCGTTAATCCGCCTCGCTGCCGCCTCAATTGTATATGTATAAAGTTCTCCTTAAGTGCTAGATACATTTGCATTCAAAAATGTCTGGCAATTGCCTTGCCATGAAACGTTTAATGTACTCTTGTGTTATTTTACAAACTTTGCTTGGTCGTTCATTGTGTGTGAGTTGAAGATTCGAAGGATTCGACGGCTTCCTGTGGAGCCCCAATAGCCAATAAGGTGCGTAGTGTGATTGCTTTTGATTAGTTTGCGTTTAGTTGCGTGGCAAGCAAGCGATATCAGCAGAGAGAAAAATGCGGATTATCTGAATTTGATGTGTTGCCTGTCTGCTGTCTGCCTTCTATCAAAACCTATCCACTTGTTTATACATAGTTGTTGATTTTTCATTTGCGGAAACCATTGCAAGCTCGCTTAGTCCGAAAAATTAAGTACCAACTATAGGAAAACAAACAATTCCAACAGAAAATCGATGCAAATACAAGTAGTTTGCAATTGCATATAGTATTTGTTTAGTTTGGTCCTATTGGTCTCGTATTCATATGAAAATTTAGTTTTAGGCTACGTGTAATTTAGAGAGTTTTCAACTTAGTTGTTAATGAGTGGCTTAACCTTGATAATATTTGGTTTTGTTAACTTAGAACTTTTTCCTGCATAAAAGGGCGAAGGACGAGAACTGCGAGCACCAGTGGGAAGGGTAAGTAAGAAACCTAAAATCCGAACTATTTAAATAATAAATTAAACTTTTTCAAACGTATTATTCTAGCTATCAACTTTGTATTAACATCAGTAATGATTAAAAATAACCTGTGAGATAAGGAACTTTTATGGCCAGCTAGAACAGATTACAACCCACGGGCGTCTACAAAAAGTGTCGAATTTATTTGTGAATAACAGGCAATAACTGGAACTGGAGCACCTATCTCGCCTCCATGCGACGCGACAGCACCTCGTAGGCGAAGATCTTCACCTCCTCGGAATCGTAGGGGATGTACAGGCAGCCGTGGGAGGGGTGCACCTTGCCCACGGTCAAGCTGCCGGCATGGTAGCCCCTTCCGGCGTACAGGGTCTCGCCATCGACATTCTGGCCCACTTTCACGGCGCCGGGGGGAACCTCTCCGTTGTCAGCCGGCAGCCACTCGTAGTGGGAGCCACTCAGCGCCTCGTAGTTCTCCAGCTCCACCTCCTGGTTGGCGTAGGCCACGTAGGCCTTGCCCTTGTTGGGGATGATCTTGGCCGGCAGCATGTCGTTGCAGTAGAAGGCGCGGCCAATGAAGATGGTGTCGCCATCGGAATCGTGGCCGGCAACCACGGCTTCCGGGGGGACTACACCGTTGCTGAAGTGAAGCCAGTTGTGACCTGCAAGGCAGCATTATTGGAGGATCCAATGGGAAAAGGGGATCGTGCCTGTTCTTACCGTCCATTTCGATTGAGCTGCTTGAATGTACTGAATAGCTCTAATCGAAGGCGGTACTTCTTGGTGATACCAATATCTATAACCCCAAGCCTTATCCGGACGTGATAACCAATCTGCCGGTGCATCAACCGAACTAGACTGCCGGTAAGTGTTAGTAGTCGGTTGTCTACATACAGAAGTCCATATAGCAACGAATTGTTTCATTTATGACCCGTGTTTATGGCTTGATTTAAGACTTGGGCAGGGTCGGACTGGCTAGATGTTTGAAATGAATAATGTTTCTTGAGAAAACAGCTACCAGTAGACCAAAAACACTTCAGTAAATAGTTTACCCAATTCTAAGTAATCTTATTTTGGGTTGATAGTGACTAAAAAATATAAATAAGGCTGATGTAAGTTATTTCCTTTCCCTTCCCAGCTCGCAGTTTTCGTGGCTCATTCTACCCACTAATTCATTTACACATAATTACTTTTAATTTGCCTAAAATTCAGCATTCGTTTAACAAATAGTTAATTTCTTTTTTGTATATGTACAATACTCATCTAGAGAGGTGAAAAAATTCTTATTTACGCCAGGGTAAAACACATCGTATATAAATCGTAAACCATTCCTGCCCTCCGTTAATCATATTGCTCCGTAGAAACTTATTATATCAGCGACAGCATTTAGAGTCTAGATTCCTTGCTTAGGAGCTATAAATAATTGCAATTAGAATTTGAATTTGGGTTGCAGTGTTTCCTTTGATTTTCGCCACTCGAATGCTTAGCATCTAAATAGTTTCGTTCGAGTTCATCAATTATTGTTTGCTAGTTGTTAAGTATTCGCTTATAAATCACATAATTGCTTGATGAATTCCATAATGTTTTTGGGTGTAAGAGGGTGTGTTTGCAGCTGCTCGAGTGCGTTTACATTTGGGTGCGATCCTAGACACAGAGAGAGATTCGAATTCGAAGGAAAAGAAAAGGATTCCACACGCAGCCCAGTCTTCCGGCTGCCTACTTCGTTTCCTGCGATATTTCCGCCTGTTCCTCCTGCTCCGGATACCTCAGTTACAGATACGGATGCTGCTACCTGGTGACAGCCAGCAGGAACACCACCAGGCTGAGCAGGTGCCTCAGCAGCGCCTCCGGGTCCGCGGAACTCGCTCCCTGCCTCCTGGCAGAGTTGCAGGCATCCGCATCGCTGCAGCTCTGCAGACAGCCGTGCACGTACCTGCAAAGTTATCACAAGAAATACGTTAGATGGGTATTCCACAGAGAAAAATATCTACAAAATTCTTAAGTTATATTTTTAATAACTTTATAGTGTCTGCTAGACACATGTAATCAAAAAGGAACTTTAGAATCCCTTTTCCTACTTTAAATTGACTTACTTTACTTTAAAGAGTTTTATAATATCTTTTCTTATGATCACAACAATAGATCTTAAAAATATAATATCTTTTTTGAGATCATAAGGTATACTATCAAAAAACAATGACTTCATAGTATATTTTTATATAAATAACAATAAATAACAATTAAATATGTAGCATATTTTAATCCTTTATATTCCTTACTTATCATCGTAATAGAACTTTCCGCAGTGCGACATTCTTATAATCTCGGTGTCGGTGGTCAGGGTGCCGCTGTCCAGGGCACAGCCTCTCACCGTTATCGTCTCTCCGGTTCCATCTGTAAATGGGAAAATGTAAATGAGAATCCATCCTAGGATCTGAAGGACATTCACTAACCGTAATAACCGGCGATCTTGATGCAGGCGGTGGCCGGAAATAGGCCGTCACGCCCCTTCCGCCCGCCCATGCAGGGTGACTCCAAGATGGCCGTCGAGTAATTGTTGTGGAACGGATCATCGCAGGCTTTATTGGCTCCATTGTAGGATACGCACTTGAAACAGTCTATGCAGTAGCCTTAAAATAAATACAGGGTATAGGACATTAAATGATGTATTATATTAACCAAATTGTAATTCTTTTCTTTCGATAATATCAATTTAAATTCTCATTGACCTTTATTATATTGGTTAAGACCGCATCTAATTAACCTTTAATCCATTCCCCCGCATATCACTTACCACTTCGAATGAAAAGGCCAAGAAGCAGGGCCAAAATGGCGACGGTCTCCATAATTGAACTGGACACCGCCATCTTCGGAGCTCTCAGGACTCACACAGGACTCGCAGGACTCACAGGTTGACCAGTTGCGGACATTCCTGGGGATTCATTTCACTGCGACTGCGACTGCTGGCTCTGCAAAAGGAGAAGCAAGACAACCAAAGGGATTAAAATTAACAAGCGAATTGAAGGCTCTTAAAAACTTTTTCGATTTTCCGCTGAAATCTCTGGATCAGCGCTCGAGAAGTCATAAAAAAGTTGAAACGAAGGCAATGGTCATAAAAATTATTATCCACAATCCGCAGAAATGCAATTTCTTTCGCAGGGAAAGACGGGCAGGCAAGAAAAATTAAAGGTAATAAATTGCACAACGCATTTTTGACACAATACCGCCCCCTGTCGGTTCCATTTTTTGTTTTCTGTTCCATATTTTTATTGCCGAAGTGTAAATAATTGCTTTTCAGTCGATTTTCGTGTCGAGTGTTGGTCCCAGAATGTTTTTTTGGGCTCCCCCTCTTTTTTTTTGTTGCCTGTTTGTTGCTGGCACTTTTAATGGCCACTTCGATGGCCCAAGGTGTTGTTGGGTCAACTTGTGGGGCCTGTGTTTTCCTTGGTTTTTGTTTTATTTCGTGATGCCTCGAATTATGACAAATGATTCTGACTTACGGGCTGAAACTGTAGCTAAGCTCGGGAAACACAATTTATGGGGCTTGCGAAGAGCGTGTGGCTTAAAGCGATTCGGGGCGTGACTTTAAAGCATTCAAAGTGGAGAATATCTCTGACAGCTCACCAAACGACCACCCCATTCATGTATTTCTATATTTTTCTCTTCCACAGACTGGCAATCAATTCAGGCGAATCTGTCATCGTGACAGATAAATATTATCATTGCATGGCTCGTGGCCGGTCTGCTGGCCAGGCCAAATAGATATAGCCATCTATCAGCTGGCAGCTTTGGGGTGCAGAGGTCATGTGTCTGTGGATCAATATTTATTGCAAATTATGGCTCGGCCACCACACTTTCCGTGTGGCCCACGGGGCGTATGTGCAACATTCCGGTTGGCCGCAAGTGCTGTGCATTAATTATGCGATTCTGAGTGTTTCTGGACTGGATGGATGTGTGATTTGCGGTAGGGCTGTCGAACTCGAGTCGCTCTAAATGGGCCCAGCTAATGTAATTAGGTTTCCTGATTAAAATGACAGGAAAAGCACAATAAGCAAGAGTAAGGTAAGTAAGATGGAGGTGAAGAAATTTATAATTAAATCCCAAGGGCTCCAATCGACACATCGAGTTCGACTGCCAGAGCTATAATTGTGTGGCGCATTTTCATCTATTTGCAAATTAGCCACTAAGCAGTCGAACGAGCTGCCAAACACATTTTCCCATCCCATTTCGCCATCCACCAACCAATTTTGCTCTGGCTGGAAGCCAAGTTGGCCGGAAACGGCATTGTGTGCCAGTGTTGACGGAAACGGATGCTGCTCCCCCAGTCCCCCTCCCGACACCCTCCTCCTCCTACTTTTCTCCTCACTTCTTGTCTTGGCCAAATGAAGTTTACCTTTGTTCATTGTGTTTGCCAGCTTTCAATATGCATCACTATTCTGCCGGTCGGTGCCCCATAAATACTACTGCACTGGGAGAAAATACTTTGCAATTTGTTATTTCTTAATTTCCTTCTTTGATGATTACCATGTTAAATAGTGACAAGCTGAAAATTATTACATAATTTCTATTTAATATCCCTTCAAATACTTTTGAACTTAAATATAGATCCTTTTTTGTACCGAAGTGTTATTATTTCGATCGAAACAACAAAATATTTTATATTTTTGGTTGTTATGATAAATATAACTATTTCACACTCAAAACAAAGTTTATCCTCAATTTTTCAATCTATAAGTGAAACTAGTTTTATGGGTATTAAAGAAACTATACTCTAGATCCCGATGTCTTATAACTCAAACGTTTTGGTGAAAGATTGGAATTATGGAGGATCGATAGTATTATGAAACAGTAGTCCTAATTTAGAAAAAGGTACATATTTATAGCTGTTGCATTTATTTTTGGATATATTTGATATTTTTTGCTGCAATAGACCTAACATAATCTGATATAATATGGAATTATCGCTTGTAGCACGTTGTAATGATGGACAGATCATAAAAAATAACTGGGTATTCCCTTTTCTTTTATTGTTTTCTGTGCAGATAGGGCAGTGTCGCTCACTTCCAGCCAGGAGTCGAAGTGGCCATTGTGCCCGTTTAACGACCATCGGTTTGTGGGAGGAGTTAACAACAGAATCAGGTATAGGAGAAGGGGCAGGGACAGGAGCAGGACCAGGAGGACGAGCCGCCTTTGTGGCCTCTACTCTTTGGCCGTACTTACTTAATTTTGTCGCTTCGACTGGGCCACAATCGAATCAGCCACGAAGGCAGCCAGGCGGACAGCCCGTCAACTTCCGGTGCCAGCTGCTGCCACAAAACTTTTATGACACTGCCAAGGACGGCCAATGAAGAGCTATGCCCGGGCAATTAAAAGCCTTCAACGTGGCCATTCTGCCAGGCAGGACATTAAATTAGTCCTGCCCGGCGAAATTGAATGCTCCCCAAAACTTGGTGAATTGTCGGGGAATTTTTTAATAAAGTTTGTGCAAGCTAATCGCGTATTCATGGACCCAACTTGGCCCGTGGCGAGCATTAAAAATGAAAAATGAAGGCAAAGTTATCCCCGAAATCTTCTCCCTTGACAAAGTAGCCAGCTCAATTGTAGGCCATTAATTTCATAATCTGCCTGTAAATGGCAACCCAGTTGGAAAGGGCACCTCATTAGGATCTCTGGGTCAGCTTTGATTGAACGCCATACACCTAGGGCTAAATTCTTGCAGGGGGCTGGAAAATACCCCCCACTTATGGTCCATTTTTTGTCTCAACTCGACGTGATTTATTATGATTTCGGCTTTGAGTAAGACCTTGCCATTTGCGATTAGACCATAATCAATCGATGTAGGGGTACAACACATTCCGCCCACTGAACCTGATGAGGGTGCGGAATTTATGCAGATTTTTTAGGTTTTCGGTGATTTAATATTTTGCAGATAATGTCATGTCATTAAATGGGGAGAAGCTAAGTCATGCCCTTTTTGGGGCCACAATCTATCTTTTAAGATGATTTCATTAGAATTTTTGCCTTTTTAATTTAAGATACTTTTAAAGTAATTTAAAATATTTAAAATAATTTCTAGAAGATGGTTATGCAAATAACCGCAAAGGTTCCTAGTAAAGTACTATTAAAAATTCCCATGATTTATATTTCCCCCAAAAATTCAGCATTTCCACTTCCGTTGTAATGTCAGTCTGAAATTTTCATTTCCCGAAATAGTCTTTGTATTGCAGTTGCATACTTTAGGGCGCCCCTGACCCCAACCCACACACACATACACTCCCATCTAAAAGGTGGCTTACCTTAAATTTGCTTGCACCTGGTTCTCTCGTGGGAGAAATTAATTTCACGCATGTGAGACTACACACACAGTCTCATTTGAGTTGAATTTGCATAACAGCTCGCCAGTGCAATTTTCGCGGAATGGAAAACTGCGAATCGCATTTACAATTCGCAGCTGCAGTTAGCTGAAATTGTGCAGTAGCACTGTATGTCGTAACCATAACTATAAGGATATGCCATAACGTAGAACCAAAAAATAGGTATCAAAACCTAATCCACTAAAAAATAAAATAAAATATCTCTTACTTCAGCACTGTGTGAATTTTCGTGGGAATTTTCAACAGCCCACAGTGAAAACTCATCAGAGGATAATTTGTATGTTGCTTCCCCAGGAAATTTCATCAACATTTGTTGACTTGTTTGCTCCATGGCGTTTTTGGCTTTATAATAGCCCTGGCCAAAAACCACTCAGCATGCAAATTGAATCAATTAAGAGGGGCAAATATTTGTAAACGCTGACCAAGATGATGGCAGCATTTAAGTTTTATGCAGCTTGTAACTCATAATTCCAGGGAACGTGCCTTCAAGGCCAATTAACTCCTAACGACCTTCACTATTTATGGCCCAAAACTCTCTCTCTTTCAAGGGGAACCTATTAACAAAGCAGCCAAAATGTCCTAAAAGCACGCAAAGCGATGGGAAATTGGTCACCGGAATGAAGGTCGATTTATGTCCGGGTCAAAAAGAGCTTACCATGATATGGGTCCCACATGCGTGTCAGAGAGTGTGGGTATTTCCAACGTTGAGACATTTCTAGTGGGGCTTATTGCCGTGTTTAAGCATTTTTCTGTTTTTAAGCTTTTCAATCAATGGAATTTCGGGTAGCCCCGGCCAATTTAAATATTTTTTGGGGCATTAAATCGTGTAATCCTGTTACACGTGAGCATGAGCACCACATATACAAAATGCACGGCGTCAGGAAGTCTGAATGCGGAACCACAAATGCGGATCGAATCAATTACCAGGGGGATGACAGCAATCAATTCTATCGAAATGATTTTATTTGGGAAACGCTTTTAATAGCCTTGGTTTGATATTTGTCAATGAGAGATTGGAAATAAAAATCAAGCTTGGTTTTCAATTAATTAGAATTTAAATTTACCTTTGAAATAAGCATAGATTTAGAAAAATATTAAATAAAGGTGTCCCAAAGTATGCAACAAAATATTTTATATCATCCCAAAAGACGACTATCCTTTTTATACTACATAATAATTTCAAAACCCAAAGAGATTAATTAATTGCTCAGGGAGTCGTCGATTATCTTGAATCTACAGACAAATTAAGGCGTTAAAATAATATTTTTCAATCATTTTGGAGCATAAGCAGCTTAAAGACTGTGGCCTTTTAAGACATTTACGCAAGACTTGGCCCCGTTTTGAGATTTTCAAGCCTCCGACTTGAGGCCAATGGCCACTTTAAGAAAACAACTCAAGATAAGATGAAAAAGGCCACCGACTGCATATTGAAGAGGCTTTCTTAGATGGCGAGCTTTTCTAATTCCATGCAAAATAGCTGAGCTCTGTGCCAATATTGTGCACACCTCCCCTTTTCTGTTTTTCCCAGGCAAATTGCGAATGCGATGGTGTTGTCATAGAAAATGTGCCACCTTCGAAGTCGTTGACATCGATTTGAGGAATCTATAGTGTCGTGGTGGAAAGTGTGTGTCTGTGCAGTGTTCAATGACTCTCGACCGCAATTGATTGAGCAGCCAACACCGATGCTCCTCCACATCCTCTGTTATGTGACACTTTTTTGTTGGCTCTCGATGATTCCGATGCTCACACGCTCCAGTGGTCAAAGGGAGCAGTCAACAGGTGCAAATCCCATCCAGGTGGTTGAGGTTACTCGGAAGCTAACCCAATTGACCTTTTGGCAGTTAATTGTCGGGCTAAAATGGCTGGTTTGCCTCGTTTCGGAAGGCTTAATTTAGGTATTTTCAAACTCAAAATTACAATGGCAGTCAGCTTTTCAATTGACCACGCATAATCCCTTTAAAGTCAAAACAAAAAGCGGTATCTGAGCTTATAAGTTGCCAGGCAATCTAAATTTTAAAGCAATTCCATGAATAACAAAATAGCAATCAACACATTGTGCAAGGGGAAAACTTCTCTATTTGTATCTTCTGCTCTTCGGTTTTTCATGAAAACTTGTGCTCAAGAAACTCAATTTAAAGTTGGGCGTGTGTTTGTACTGGCATGACTGAATGACTGAATGACATATTGAATAACTGAGTGAGCTGTCTCACGGAGCCCGACAAAAGCGAAAAGTTTTAGAGCGAAAAACAGAAAGTATTTCGTGCCAACCAGCCAGGCAATTCATTTTATGCAGACACCTCTGGGTTTTCAGTCATTCCCGATGGGATATGCCCACATACCATCGTGTTAAGTTCGGTTAATTAATGCGCCCTTAACCGGAAAAAACAATTCTGCAAATGGGTAAATTTAAACTTTCTACAAAAGCAGCGGAGCACTTAAATTGACTTGTGGGCTTGCCAGTTTTGTGGCTTTGGGGTTAAAGTATTTTACGAGTATATTTTGCGTCCTAAACCGCAAAACATCCGAGATTCTTTTAGTTTTAAAAAATTATAATTAACACTTCCAATGGAACTATGACATTTATAAACTTAATAAACAAAAGAATTTTAAGTTCTCAGAATGCAAATAAAATCCTAGTCAGCTATTAAATTTTCACAAAATTGCCCAACCTTTTGTGAATACCGAAAA